GCCACGCCGGTTTTACAGAAATTGTCCGTGGCGCCACGATGAATTTTCTTGTATATGATACGTATATAAATATTATCTGCAATAGATAAGTTACAGTGTATAACCATGTTTGACATGTTAATTGCGACAGGGGTTACTGTTTGAATTGACGATGGTAATAATACAAAATTTTAGATATTGACATTTCTTTTAAATTGTATATATATATATATATATATATATATATATATATATATATATATATATATATATATATATATATTTCTAACAATTTGGGCGCGCCGGTCACCGGTGGCCCCCGTGGCATTCAACGTGTTAAATGAATTGATAACTTCACTTTCCCGAAACAAAATGTGCGTCATTTTGGCCCAATGAAGAGTTAATGATGACTCGTTTCAAATTCCGCGGGACCATCACGGCGACCATACTCCGGTCAAAGGTTAATTCTCCTTTAAGCAATCCCAGCATCAGTATCGAGGCAAGTATTTGCGAGTAAAAGGATCAAAAAGCACCCAGCTCACGTCCGGGTCATTAATCGATATTTAAAGCACATTCGTCATTTCGCTGCAGTCGAAATTCACTTCCAGCGATATCGGAAGTCTGCGGCAAAGGCGCACGAGAGTGGCCGGCAAGTGGCCCATGTGCATTAGCTCCTAACTCGAAGGTTTACGAGGTTGTGAAGAATATATCGGTTTCAGTCGATGAAGAGATTCGAAGCGGTGGGCAGGTTTCTCGTGCCGGAGGTTGTCCACCGGCGAATCCGGTGGCTCTGTGAGAACGCTCGAAATTCGTGTACGCGTTTCCCATCATTGATGAGAGGGACTGTACCGTACGCGACGATAATACACGGCGGAACGTGGAGCCGGGCCACCGTGTGTACGTGACACACGTCGTCTACGTGGGTGCTGGGCATTTTACGACTTTCGGTGCTCTTGGAAAAAAGCTTCGCCGGAGGCCGCGGCGTCGAGATCCTCTCTCACGGGACTGTTGCTCGCTCGCTCGCTCGCTCGGCACGGCTCGGCTCGGCTCGAATCAGCTCCGCTCCGCGCCGGCAAACCGCGCGCGAGGCTCTTCTTCTTGCCTCTCTTTCGAATCTCCCGTCAGATTTCTATCGGAGCTTCGTTAAACTCGCATCAGATGCGAGGGTCCCTTCACCTCGCCTCTCCGCGTTCTACGTGCACCATTGTCGTTTCCCCGGTTCGCTCGATTCTCTCGCCGCGGCTAATTAATAATTTCCATGAAAATCGCGTTCAACGGCGTGCCCCGCTCGCGGTTTCATCCGAGCGGCCGCCGCGCCGGTTCTAGAGTTCTAGGTTCTAGACAGCCAGACGGCCCCGACGAAACGCTTTCTTTTCTCGATTCGTAAATCACTTGGCTCAGCCAATTAACGCTCGCAACGCGCGGGTTCCGTCGAGCGGCGCGATCCTTGGCGCCGCTGAATCAAACGAGATCTAGACGGTTCGGTGGCGGACCGACAGCGATACGCGGAAGATGGGATTTCGCGCGTGACCGCGATAGCCTATGGTCCCCATAAAACTCCTTGGTCCGAGCAGTTCCTCGATCTTCCTAGAAACGGCGTGGTTCGCCGAGTCCACGATTTTCGTTGAAACCCGCGATCTCCGCGGTCGGTCGCGAAGCTCCGTGGTCTTCGCGAAGGTCCATAGTTTACCTAAAAGTCCACAGTTTCGCCGTAAGCCCACGGTCGTCCCGAAGATCCATGGTCTACTCACCGTCTCACCGAAGACGCATAGTTTTCGAGAAACTCCGCGATCTCTGCGAAAGCCCATGATCTTCGTAAAGGTCCATAGTTTACTCGGAACTCGAAAATGCTGCGAAGACGCATAGTTTACGGAAGAGTCTGCGATCTCTGGAACAACGCGCGATTACTGGCAAAGCCCGCGGTTTCCGCGATGATCCGCAGTCTCTGTGAAAATCAGCAGACCCTATGAACGTCCGTAGATCGCGCAAAATATTGACAATCACCATGGAAGTGAAAAATTTGCGCCGATATCTTCAACCCTTGCGAAAACCCATAGCCTCCCAATGATCCCTTAACAGTCCACCTTGCCCGCAAATCCCAATAAGAAGCTAAAATCCGTAAGAAACTCGCGAAAGCCGAGGCTTCGCTGCCGCATCGTCGCGGAGCTCTGATATTGAATTAACATTAAATATATGCCATCGTTCGACATTAAACGAGCCCGTCTTATACGAGCATCGAACGGATTCGGAGAGGCAGAAAAATCGTAGACGAGTTTATAGCTGCGAGTACGTTACCGCACAGTATTCAGTAATATACATTACGGGGCAGACGTTGTAATCACAAGCGAAATGCCAACGATCAAGAGCGAATTACGCCGTAATAAATGTAATTACTATATAATTGCCGGTGCAGACGTTGCAGAGTACAATTAAATTCAACAGCCGTCCAGTAAATAAATAGAAAAACAGATTTATGGACACCGGTGAATACAATCGGCGAGTTAAGTTGTCTGTCTCGGCTAACAGGTTAATTGGACCACACGCGCTCGCAGCACGCGAGTATCGCGGAAGATCCGACCGGACGAGTCGCGACAGAAAGAGGAAGGACGAATTTCGCCAGCGATCTGCTTCTGTGACGGCTGATTTTCGTCGTTGTTCCCTTCCTCGTCGGTTCTCTCTTTCATTTCTTTCCGCTTTCTTTCTCTATTTTTTTCTTTCGCGTCTCGGCGCAGCACTTTTGGGGTCTCGGCTCTTCCGCTCGTTAGGCGGCCCGAGTCGGGGCTTATGCTAATTTTAAGCAGTTCCCCTCCAGTCGATTCTTTCCTAAAGCTATTAGGCGATCATCTCGGATAATCCCGCGATTCCGGGTTTACTCGGGACACGACTTTTCTAAGTTTTCTTCCTCCGCGAGCCTGGATTCGTCGAAAGCAGTCGGCTCGCGAGCGGGTCCCACTATTTTTTCCTGTTCGCCAGGCGGACGTATATATCCGTCCGGGAACGCTGCTAAGAGCTTGGATTACGCCCGGAGGCGCCAACAAGTTCGAAGTTTGCAGCGCTCGGCGCGAGAGAAAGCTCTGGCACTCTGCTGAATTTTCTTCTTCCTCTGTACCTTATCAACATAAATTAAGTACTTTCCGCATCTTTCGACACCTAACGCTGCGTCGCATTGAAGACCTTGGGGATACGATTTTCAGCTGATCTTTCATTTTCACAACTTCACCGTATACATATTGAAGCAGTCAAAGGCGTGAAGACACGCGTTATGCATAAAAAAAGTTCCCAGGATTTCTTGTTACGAAGTTTCGTGGCGCGTATACAGAGGCATGATGCGATTATAAATAACGATTTATAAAAAAGTCGAGCCAGTACGTACTGATTTAAGAAAAGAAACCAACGTTGCAATGAATCGTACCTTCGATGATTAAATTGAGCTGCATTCGGAGCTAATGAAAAACACCAATATGTTGAATTAATCATGAAATGATTTATCATGAAATTATACTAAATGTTAACCGCCAAATACTGAAGAAATGTTTGTTAATTCTGATGTTATTTGCTTAAAAAACTTTATAGAAATTTCGCACTTGTTTTATGGTTAAATACATAAATTTACGTTTCATTGCAAATAAATATTATATCTATCAATGTAATCATGCATATGGTTCCTTTTATTGATCCTAAAATGCTATTCATGCGCTATTTTCTCATTGCTGCAGAATAATTATGAGATTTCATCAAAATGTCAGCTAGCTTTATGAAAATGTCGGGCACTGTATACTGGCAGACAAAAGCTTGAAGGCATATCAATTTTGAAGACACCTGTTCCTCTTCAGACAAATTGTGGACTCTTTGTAATATGAATCAGTACATAAGGGTAACTTAATTGCTGCACCAGTAATCGAGGAGAATGTTAACATGTTCCCTACCAGGGTCACGCATGTGTGAATATAATTATTCAAAATGTAACACGTAGCATGATATTTAGAGGATTTATAGCTACGACGTATTTAACAAAATAAACACAATAAATAGCGAACATCTTAATCTCATTAACAGTAGGTTTACGGAAACCGACAATATGGCGGGTCACTGATTTTGTAATTTACGATTATTCTGACTCTTCGTATAGATGCATTCACGAGTTATTTATTCAATATATGTTGCTTGCGACCAAATGTTACAATGACACTCGTTAAAGATTAGAATAAACGTCTTATTGTTACTTTTAGCAACTAATATAAAACAGTCACTTTTGGTGCTGTGTAAATCTAGCGTTAAAACGCCGAAACTGACGTCGACTCGAAATCCCATGGTGTGAGAGGTCTTTAATCATGGCCGCGGGAAACGGAGGAGGTTTCGTGGCAATTTACCGGTGATAGAGATACAAGGGTGGTTCGGTTTCCCCAGAGCGATCGTCGACAACCGGTCAGGTGCATCTTCTGGAGGGAAAGATGCACCTGTCTCGTCCGAGAGGCAGCCTGCGCGTTTTATAGACCGGCGGTTCTATCGTTGATCTATTCAATTGGCCCGAGAGATAAGAGAATAGGGGAACCGGCACCGAGAAGGCGCCCGTGACGGTGAGCAACGCCACGGCTGATTATTTGGTCTGCGTCACCCTGCCCCGAATTCCCTCCCGTCACCTCGCGTCTCGCCAATCTCACCTGCTCGCCACGCTAAATGGCTACTCGGCCCCTCTTCCACCCTCCGCGCCCTCTCCAACGACATCGTCCTCTATCGTTGGGAATCGTTACGCTCCTCTCACGCCGTCGACTTATCGCAAGAGCGCGTCTTTAACGACCTTTTCGATCCCCTCGCCTCCCCCCGGAGGGAGGTGTTCGACCTGTTTCTTTGATCTCCGAGGATAACGCTCCGTACCGTCGCGCGATCTACGCTCGCGATAGCCGGTGCGCGCGCGCGTTTTATCATTTCAGGGCTCGGGACACGGCGAAGTGGCGAAACGCGATTCCTTCCCTCGACACACGGCCCTTGAAAATTGAATCGTGGCCTTCTTTGTCTTGCAGGTGGTGGAAAGACCGCGGAGAAATTCACTGATCGCTCCCCGACCGCGGAGCCGATAGGGGATGGTGAGTTTCCTCTTTGTACCGTGCGGACGCCAATTTTTGCGGACTATTTCGGTAGCTATTATAAACGCTCCTGCAAATTTATTTTATTTTATTTCTTTTGTTTCTTTTATTATTCGAGTCGATTCGAAAGTGATCGCCAGTTTAAGGGTGCTTTATGAGCCTTAAGCCTTTGCACTCGAATCGCGACTCTTGGGCGCCACGAAAAATTGTTACACCGTTTCTGAAAATAATCGTAACGGTATCAGATTCGTTTATACTTAAACAACTGTTAAAATTGCAATTATCGTTCTAGCCAACAGGCACAATTTCGTGTGCAATAAATCGTATAAAATGGAAATATCCTGGATCGGGAAGCATGTTTCGGATTTCGAATTAAAGTAGCTTCGACCGCAAAGGGTTAAGATTGTTCCTTTAACCTAAAGATTACCGGGCATTTTGACCCAGTCTTTTTAACCCCTTGCACTATAACAACGTGTTAGACTCGTGACGAATATTTCATACATAATCTGTTAAATATGAACGTTATTCATGTCGTATAAATCGAAACAAAATTTGATTCTTCTGTTGCCAAAATCTACGAATGAAAGTCAATGAAGACACGCGAGAAACAAAAATTATCTAGTTCTATTCCGGAAATGATTAAAAGGATGAAGATGTGCTAATCAACACAGTCGTGAAAGAAATCGTAGTGCAAGAGGTTAATTGTCACTTAATTACTCAACTTACAGAAATGAAATTAAATAAATTGCTGTTATATATACACTAGGCACAACCGAAAGTGTAACAGATCTACAGGAAGAATGTTCAAAAATATATTTTGTAAAGTTAATGAATAAAGCTGAGAATTATTAGAAACATCGTCAATTTTATAGTTGTTAAAATGATCCGTCGTCCGAGAGTTAATTTCTATTTTTCTTCTATCAACTCGTTTACAAGTGGTCTCTAATTTCAGGGTAGTTTCCGAGCCTTAATATTGCTCCTTTAATTCTTATTTTTCTTTTACCAGTTCTTTTACCAGATCCTTTGTAATAAAGATAAAATAAATATACCATTGATAGGTACTTCGTAACCCCTTGCACCGTCACAACGAGTTTGACTGATTACGTTCTACCAGGAAAATTATTAAAGACGAAGTGCAAGGAGTTAATATGCACATGTTTTTGTATCGAACAATTTTGTGGGCAACATCAATGCATAAAAATCTGCAAAATCATTCCCTAGATTTATGAATACACCATAGGTCCTCCCACAAACATCTAATTTATAAAGTTAGAATCAATACAAAACCTATATTGCTTTGTGAAACATTAAATCACATTTCACAAAGATACTATTTTAATTTACTCGTGAATTACTTTGCAACCACGAAACGACGAAAATTCCATTATGCTTAATTCGCTAGCCAAATACGAACCTACGCGCATACATATTTACATACATGTGTGATACTAAATTTCTCTGAAATCAAATTGACCTGAATAATATCTGCAGATTTTCATAAATTACCCAAAAATCTCGAAGCACATAAAGTTCGATGCTCAACGCGATTTTTTCACAGACAGGCCTCGAGCAAAGCGGTTCACGAATCGAGGGTTGAGCACACAGAGTCGTGGCGCGTATAGCCGAGCATTTTCGTCGAGAGCGATACAGATTCGGCGAACAAAGGCTCCGCGATACGGCCGCTAATAGATCCGAGGAGAGGTTGTTATAAAAGTTGGCCGCGCGATATTCAAATGAACCCGCAAACTTCCCGCGGAATGACACTCAGAAGTAATCCGACTGTTAAGTCCCGCGACCTTCCTTCTGCGCCGAGTTTCGCCGGTAAGCGCGCATATAAATTACATTATACACCGCCCCCGAGGGCACCCGTGAACTTCTCCTCATAAATATCTATCTACGGATGACGGCGTTCGATCTGCGTCGCACGGGAGCTGTCCAAATCGGTCCTAATGTGTCCAAGATTGATCCCTGTTAACCCGAGAAAGATAACCATATGACAACGTACGTAAAAGATAACCATACGCTTCAGAGGCGCATGCTTTTCTAAGGTGTCAATTTTATACTAAAAATGGATATTTATTTAAGTTAATCTAGTCATTTTAAAGGTTTGGTATTATTGTAAAAATAAAATGCATTTATATTATATTTTTTTATATTTTAAGTAATTTTAAACTTAAATCACTAGACCTCTATGAAAAATTAACAAAAATCAACAGTCTTCGCAGGCGCCTCTGCGACGTAGGTTATCTTTCTCGGGTTAA